CCCGCGTCTCCTGCATCGGCAGGCGGACTCTCAAGCACTGCGCCACCAGGGAAGCCCCAGACATGTGTTTTTAACTCATCACTGAAAACAAGGAAGCAAGCCAACCTTGGTCAACGGGGCTGTCTCTGCTCCGCCACCAGCAAGAGGGCAGCTCGCCAGGCTGCAACAGGACAGACTTACACCGACTCTCCCCGCTTCCTGTGGACCAGGGGAACAGTACTAACAATGACCATGACCATGACAGTAACCGCTGATAACTAACCGGGCAGTAGCCACAGCAGGTGCTGTTCTAAGCCACTTCCATGACTGTCTTGGTCAAACCCATAAATGCTACAGGGCATTTTTATTACTATCCTGACCTTACAGAAGAGGAAACTGAGGTTCAGAAAGGCTAAGTGGAGGTGGAGGAACTGAGGATTCTGCCCCGCCAGGCTCTGTTCAGAGCACCTGACATCAAGACGACGCATTCAAACCAAACACATTTTTGGCCCTTTAATGGGGAAGAGAATTAAGAGAACTTATGGTGGTTTCCACCACATGTACTGGCTCTGCACTGGGCTCTCTCCTATTTCACCCCATCCTGGTAAACTGAAGGCCCGGCCGGGGTCAGAACCCAGGTCAACGGGCCTCCCAGGTACCAATGTCCCCATCAGCCTCAACAGTAGGGCAGGGAGCAACAGACTTGACGTCATAACGGAGCGGATTCAGAGTATGACACGCTAGGTCTCAATCTTGTCTTGGGTATTATTATTATTATTATTATTTCACCTCTCAGTCTCAATTTCTGCCCCATGAAATGGGGCGGAACAATGCCACCTGGTCAACTTGGGGTGAGGATCGGTGATGACGGAGGTAAAGCCCAGGCCCAGAGCGGAGCCTGTAGCAGGTGCTTCTATGAACGGGGCTCTGGTTACAGCCCAGGAGGATGGGCTGGGAGAGAAGGGGCGACATTCACAGCTGCCCAGTCTCTGGCACTCACCACCTACCCCACCCACCCAGGGTGACGAGCAACTGCTGTCCGTGGTGCTTCACACATCTGTCCATTCAGTGTTCGTGAGACACGTTCTACTGTTATCCTGGCTTTAAGCAGAGAGGGGGCGTGACCACCGGACCCCCATGCGCGCCCCTTAAGGTCTGTGTGACCTTGTCCATCCTGAAAGGTCACAGGCCACGCATGGCCCTGCTTCACCCCCTGCAGCCAGAGCAGGTCCCGGCAAAGGCATTCCACATAGGCCCGCTGGCACCACCCTGTGCGGGACCCCAAGCAAAGGCACTCTGTAAGCGGACGGCCGCCTCAATTTTGAGCAAGGTTGATCTGGGGCTCCATGCACGTGTATATTTCTGGTGTGGTAGCCAGACATTCTTTTTCCTAAGTTTACCCCCACCCCCCAAAATCTATAGATGACAATCACGTTGGTTTTTATGATTTACTGAAAATCAAAGACAAGAGGGGACTTTTTTGTCTTGTTTTTGCTATGACAGGTTTAGAAATTTGTTGTACTACATTGATTCAATTTTCCTTGATTTCGGCCATCTTTCAATAATGCAACCTGCTTCTGCAAGCTGGGTACACAACAGAAAACCCAGAGGAACTAAGAATATTGAAATGGTTCTACCATTTCCATCTTTGAGACAAATGTGCCTCTCAGAGGAGAGCTGGCTGCAAGCATGTGACCGCTTAACAACCATCTACATGTGAAAGACGACACACACGCTAACGCTGTCTTATGAAAGTGGGGAGACCACCGGCAGATCTGACCTCTAGCTTGATTCCATTATCTCAACTCTCTTTCTTCGGAGTTGTCACATGTGCTCCAATCCTGGGTTTCTTTCTTTTTTATTAGGAAAACATCCAAACTGTTTCGAAACAGGCTGCCAAGTGGGGTCTGGCTTATCAAGCACAATGGAACGTACCGTGATCCTTCCTCTAAATCATGAAGAGCCTCTGACATTTCCCCAAACTCCTACTGGTGGCAAATAATAAAACAGGAGGAGGAAGAACCAACTCTGCACACCCACCCCAACCTCTACCTTCTTTACGCCATGACATTCTAAAAAAAATGAAGCAGAATTGATTGTTCCGTGTATCCTGTAAAACCTTCTGTCTTATTACTTTAAGTAATATACACATTAAAAGTGAGTTTCTTTTTCTCAGAAATAAACTTGAATGAAATGAAAGTACTTTTCTCAGAGGGTCACCCCACAGCTAGGTCCCTCCTGTTCCTGGAACACAAACCCTAATGGGGATGCGAGACCCTGGGTGGAGTGAGTGATGACCCAGGCCCCCCACCTGTCCCAGTCTGGGAAGCTTGCTTACCTCTTTTTCAATTTCTGCCAGAGATTTGATGGTGATTCCCAAGAGATCAAAGGGCTGCATCTGAAAATACAGATCAAGTCATCCTTTAAAATGGCTGGAAAAATGCTGCTTCACATTTGCTCTTATTCACAATTGTGACACTTCAAACCCCCTTGTGATCTGGCGTTTTCTCCACTCCTCTTCCATGGAAACCATCAGTGTGGCTATAGTGACGAGTGAGGGTAAATGGACCAGTAGCAGGAGCAGACTCAGAAAACCTGGCCGTCACCGGGGTCCCTTCTGGTGGGGACCCCGGCCTAGGCACCTGTCTACAGCACCCGGGGGGGCGGGTCACGGCTCTCCTGAAAGACCATGACTGTCACCAATAATTTCTGCCTCTTGTCTCTCGCTGCCCACAGGAAAAGCCGGTGTGCTCCTTCCGCAGCCGCGGGGATGGAGGTGCCCACGGCTTCCCCACACCGCCCTGACATCCGCGTCTGTGTGCTGGAACGGGTCTAAGGAACTCCACGAGGCAGGCAGCCAATCTTCTGCCTGGGACTCCTTGGCATCAGAGAAGGAGCTGGAGGGAATTCCAGGTCTTTGAAAATGCAAGGTAAATGAACTGCCCATCAACTGTCGTTTAAGAAGTCAGTGGTGGTGGAAAATGGTAACACTGCATTTTAATGGGTATTTCTGTAACTTCATAGAGATGGGGACCTTTCTTTAAAAACGCTGGCTTTTCCAGACAGCATGAAAAATCAAACGCACATGGCAACAGGAGTCAGCTGGAGGCCCAGAGAAGCCTGGGCTGAAATAATGCACGGTGAGGGGTGGAGGGAACCCGGTCCCTGAGGTCCCTGGTCCGAGTCCCCTCAGGGATCATCAGTGGTCTGTATTCCCGAGGGGTACCAGCCCAGCCTTCTGCGGCCCAGGCCAGCAGCTGGCAGCCGGGGATGAACAGGTGAAACCTGAGACTCTGACAAAACCCCAGGGCCTTCACGGTTCTGAACTGCAGCCCAGAGGCAGCGGATTTCCTGGGAGGGGTGGTAGAAAGAGGCCGGCTCTGAGCCCAAGGACCTGGATTCTAACTGGGCTCAGCACCCCTCCGTGATGCAGCAGCGGCAGGTTAATCACTTGAGCATTTCCTCTCCGGTTACAAAGCATTGCGGGCGGGCCCTGCCCGCTGGGCTGCTGAGATTAAACACAGAAGCGCAGGGAAGCGCTTGCACTGGGCTTGGCCCGAATCCTCCTGCCTGAGCACTTGCTGAGTCGGCAGAGCCCGATCTTGGGACAGGGCCACCGAATTAGGCACTCAGCTCCTGGGGCTGCTCTGCCAGTAGCCACAAAACAGTTTGGCTTTCTCCTGCTGCCAGCCCGAGTGGTGCGAGAGTGGGGCTGCCTGCCTGAGCGGCCTGGGATCCAGCAGAGGTCCAGCTGTTGTATCATTAGGCTCTAACTGCCCCACTAAACTTTCCTGATTGGAGCCGGTGTGCAGGACAGAACAGCCTCTCCAAGGCAGTGGGCGGGAGAGGCGCCAGCATCTCCATGGCAACGCGGCCAAGTGGAGTCAGCTGAAGTTACTCATGCTCCGTAGGTCAAGTCACGAGCGTTTTTCAAGATTAAGCTGCTTACCAGAAGGGTTCAGAGAAGGCCTATTATATTTCATGAAAATGGAAACTCCAGTGCAGGTCAAATCGCGAGCTGGGTGGTTTTAAGCTGGGTCCAAGAAAAACACTGAAGGATTCTTTAGCTGGTGCCCAAACTAGGGCCTTCATGTTTATTAGCTACTCAAAGCAAACTTCTGCAGAAAGGATTTTAAAAAGCCCAGAAAGCAGTCTACTGAGCGAGCATGGACCAGGCCTGCACAGCTGAGGGAGGGCCACTGCCACACTGGGCGGCAGGCACCACCGGAGAGAGGGCACAGGGGTGCCAGGCGGGGCCCGCAAAGCTGTGCGTGCTGGGTGCCTCTCACGATCTGGGTTCTGGCCTTCAGACCCAGCTAGCTCACTCAATCCCTCTGTCACTAAAGATGGCTCAAGGGCCCAGCCTGGCCTCAGTTGCCTCACGTGTATCATGGGGTCCGTGCTAGCCTGCAGTGGGCGGGAGACCCACAGCTGCAGGGCACCCTGCACTAGCAGGCCCAGCCCTGCCACTCGGATGCCTGCGGCAGAGAACGTGGTCATCACGGAATGCGGCAATGACAGTGGGGAAGTGAGGCAGCTTTCTTTCTGCTAGACATTGACTTTGTTAAATAAAAAATAACAGAAATTAATAAGGTGAGCTTGGAAAGCAAGAACATTTACAGCTGGTGAAGTTCAGTACAATTTACCATCACATTTGAATCAAAAAGCCTTGGCTGCGGCTGCGTCTGAGTGTGTCTGCTAGTCTGTCTCGCTCCCTCCCCACCCTCATCCCTTCTTTCACTTCTCAAGCACCCCACTACGTGCAGTATTAGCTGAAGGGGTCCAGGGAGGAACACGACCCACTTCCGGCTCTCAGGCAGCCCTGCTGTAGGCTGCAGGGCTGAGCCTCCAGCAGGGGCAGAACAGGAGGACAGCAGTGATTCTGGCAGGGGCAGGGGAAGGGGAGTGGGGCAGAAGGGGAGGGTGATCGTGCTTAAAACTTACACTTTCTGGAACACAAGAAAACTTCTCTGAAATCATAAATGGCACACCATCCATTGCTGCAAAAGAAGAAAAAAAGAGGAAATGGCATTGCAGACACCACTGATGTTCAGCACCTTGAGATACTGACACAGACAGTACAGGCCGGTCAGGCCTGGACCTGGCCGACACGTGCACAGGTGAGTGGGGCCGCGGGCAATGGGTGCCCAGGTACCATTCCTG